CGGGGCGGCGCTGCGGCCCCTGCAGCCCAGAGTTCACACGTGGGCGCCGCGCCGGTTGCCGTGGGAACGAGGCGGGATGCGGTAGCGAAGGCAAAGCGATGATGGCGGCAGGCAAGGGAGAGATGCTCAAGGAGTAGGCGCGTTGGCTTTGTCTTGTCCAAGCCCAGGCCCAGACCCAGATATGGAGGCTTTCGCTCCTTCCTTGATTGGTGGTGTGTATGATGAAGGATGGGATTAGAAAATAAGAGAGGAAAATATTTAATCGAATAAAATAATATTAAATGTGGTATGTGAGAAGATTCTGTAGTCCTGGGGATTGAGCCCTGCAGGGTAGCACGAACTGAAATGCTCTAGTCCAACAAAAATAGAGGAGAAATAAATGATTAAGGGAGGCAGACTGGAGAACAGAACACAGGGCCCCTCGCTGCCTTCCCAAGGAAGGAGGTGCTTGGGGGCTTTAGACCAGTGCCCAGCAGAAGCTCTGCTAGCCTACTTCTCTGCCAGGCTTATATTTGCTTAGGGTTCTCATAGGCAGAGATGACTCTTCCTTTATTTTGTATTTTTAAGCACTCAATAATTTCCCAGCCCATGTCAATTTAGGGCATTTTAGATTAAGAGGAGAGTAGGGAAAAAGAATAGAAATTCTTGAACCTTTCAGCAGTGCTCAGAATCTCCCCACGTGTCTGTGGTAGAAGCAGGCCCTGCTTCTCAGTGGTGGTCAGTCCTGTGAGGTATGGCAAGCTTCTGTCTATTCTTGTTACTACCCCCACCTCCATTGTGAGTTCCATGACCTCTTTGATTGGATTATGGTAAGGGCCTCCTAACCACACTCTGGCCCCTGCCCTTCCCACCTTATCCCCACCAATTCTCCTGTCCTATAAACAGCATAAGTCTATTGTCTCCAGTCCCTGCTAACAGCCCCTCGCTGCCTGTGGAATGAATTCCAAACTCCTGACTATGACTTCTCCCTGTTCTTTAGCCAGGGTTGCATTCCTGGTTTTTGTCCTTCAGCACCTCACTCATACGTCAACCAGATGGGACTTTGTATGAGATGTGCTAAACCTTATTCTTTGCCTTTTAAGACAGAGTTTAGACAAAATGCGCTTAGGTGAAGTGAGGTTTGAGCACTTTCACATCTCACCTTCACTAGTCTCCCAGAAATACCTAGGATGTTTCCACCCCACATTCTGTGCTTATTCTCAGTAGACTGAACTGTCCTTATTAAAGCATTAACTGATTAGGACTTAATTTACGATCTCTCCCCAGGATCTTTACCTTTCAAAAGGAAACACTAAGGATTCCAAAGTTCAAGAACACTGGATTGAAACTGTAACAGGAAAATGGTAAGTAGGGAACACATTGTGTTGGAGCTGAGGTCCACTTCGATGATCATTAAAATTATTAGAGATTAAGGACCGGGTATTTAGCTCAGTGGTTCTGTTGCCTGCCTCACAAGGTCCAGAACTCGATCCCTGGTACCAAAAAATTTTAAAAACATTATTAGATATTTAACAGTGGAGGAAGTTGAAACACTGGGGATATAGTTGAAGAGAGATGATGTAACCAAGGATACATGAGAAGAAATAGAATCAGTGCTCAAAAGCAAGACTCCCTATATCCAATACTTAGATGTTGCACACTAGTAAATAAAGCACATTAGACCAACATTTTTCTTCTTCTATCTTAAGATCGATGTACAACAGTACTAACTACCTCAAAAACAAAAACAAAAAAATTGCTATAAGGATAAAATGACAGAGGTCAAACAAGATACTGAACTTGCACAAAATAAGCACTCAATAATTGGTAATTTTGGTCTAATATTTTAAGATTTTACTTAATGTACTTGGGTGTGAACCACAGATACACTAGGATTTTTAAATAACAGAGTTTGGAAAAGTCACTTCATATTTCAGTTTTAAACTCTTCTACATTTGAAGTGTTTTAGAAAATTAAGTTCTGTGAAAAGGCTCATGGTGCCTTTGAAAGAGAGTGATAGTACTAAAGGTCAGCCTTTAAAAAGCTATACAGCAATTCCAACTTAAGTGTTTCATGAGTAAGCTTAACTTTGGCATGTAAATTACAAATATGATTAGTTCCAGCAGCAAAAGGAAAACTACTACGGAAGAGAGGCATCAAAATGAGGAAGAAATACAATTCCAGGTTGAAGAAAGGACCCTACCATTCAGTGCTTTTTGCACAATGTTTCTGGTATATAATAAAATAAGAGAAGAAAAAACACTTAAGCAGAAAGTGGGTTCTAACAATTGAGATATTTTATGTTTGCAAATAAACACTAAGACTTTCTTGAATCTGAGTTGGATAAAGGACAAATTCAAATATAAAATTTTAGCAGTAGACTGTGTTTTTAAGTTTCAGAAATAACTTTTCTGAGGAAAATATTTAATTCAGTGCAAACTGAAATGCTTTCTGGAGGAGTAGTCATACACCCTAAGATTCCCAAGGCTTCTAAAACCAGGCTTTCCAGTAGCCTCATGTAGACTTGGTTCAGCTACTCAGATCCACTGGAACAACTTAGTTTTTGTCCACCTGAGAGACGTGGGGTGGGGGAGAGTTAGGTAGGTCTCTTTATCACTATGTACTCTTTTGTTACTATCTAATCAGAGCTTTTCCTGTGAGACACAGAACTTCATGCCAAGTGGCATCAGAAGCAGATGGCCTCACTCACAAATTTAGAGTCATTTTTGTCTTGAGCTCACATAAGTAATGGATTCTCAGTAGTTGAAGTCAATGTGCTGGTGTTGCCTTCACTCAATACACTCAGAATACGAGCCATGGCATTTTGTTTGCAAAACGAATATCTAGGAGTAGCTTTCTTGAGAAAGGGACTGTGGGCTTGCTAGTCCTTTAGAATTTCCTGGGTTCTCCTCCAGCACAGTTTTGTGTGGAGACTTGCCTGGTTCTTTTTAAAAACTGGCTAATAATGTATTGAGTACCCTGTGGGCTATTGTGACATTCTGCATACATCCCATCGCTATATTTGGCCAGACAAGGGATATGCATTGTGACAATCTTTTAATATCGCCTATTAAAACTGGTACTATATGGATATCATTTCAATGGCTAGAGACCTTGGTAGGCTGTTTCAAGGTGAGCCATTATGCATTTTAATGGAAGTCATTGCAGACCCAGGAACTAGTTCTTGGTTTTGTAGAATCAGAGAATCCATTTTCGTTAACCTAGAACTGATCATTTTAGGAATTGATTTCCAATAATCCTGCCCATTGAGGACTTTAATTAGTCCTCACTCTGGCCAACTTACTATTTCATCCCAGAGAATAAAGCCAGTAGGCAGGACTTGATCATTACACAAAATACTTCCTCCCAGTGGAAAAGCATTCCCAGGAGATTGTCATCAGATCAGAAGGTTTGGTGAATATTGAATTAGATCAAAGTGAATTGAATGTTCTTAAGGGATTTACCTAGCAGGTTAAAGAGATGTTAAGGAATGCCTTCCTCCCCTCCAGGTGCATCGCAGTCTGGATAACTAATGTGGACTGTTCACCTCAATGCTGTTAGAGACTTTACCATGTCTGTGTAAGTTAAGTAAGTTAAGTGCCTTCTTGTTCAACTTCATGGGGCCATTTTCTTCTCTTTATCCCATTAATGGCATCTTTGGGAGTTGAGAAGACCTGGGTTAAAATCCCAGCAATGATACTCGCTGTATAATAATGAACAACTTTCACCACACTTTGCACCTCATGGACCTCATAGTTAAAATGAGAGTAATCAGAATCTCCTCCAAAGATTGCAGTGAGGATTAATGAAATAATGAATATAAAGTTAGTGACATTATGTCTGATACACAGTAGCTATTCAACTAATGGTAGCTATCACTGGAATTTACATTACATGTGTAGATTTAATTCTCTTTGCTAATATATTAAGGCCACCTCAAGGTATGTCACCCAAGTTCATAAGACATGTCTAAAAGCTTATTGCATCCTTAAAATGTTAATCATGTTAGTAATAGCATTGTGGTTAATTTATTATTATTATTTTTTAACAATACTGAGGATTGAAATCAGGGTCTTTGCATTTAGCTACATCTGCAGCCTTATTTATTTATATATGTATTATTTTGAGACAGGGTTTCATCAAGTTACTCAGGTTTTGCTTGAAATTGCAGTCCTCCTACCTCAACCTCCCAAGTACCTGGGATTACAGGCATGTACCACTACACCAGCAATTTTATATTACTTTTTATCCTGAATTTTAGAGGGGGACTTTTTACAAACCTCATCTCTAATTGTGAGGGTGTATTTAGTTGAGGGCTTGCAGCCATCCATGAACTATATGAAATTTAGTAATGTCTACTGGGCTTTCAAAGATCAGATATTTGAGATACAATTCCTTTTTGAAATAAAGTAGATTGTTAGAAATCAGCACACTCCCTAAATTAAATTTTTAAAAAGCATGTCCTTTAGGAGATCCCTGAAGTTTTCCTTATTTGGAATTGTAGCTAGTCCATTGTGCTGTTTTATAAAAAGGAGGCAAACTCATTAAAGTTTTTGGATCCTATGGTGCTGAAACATTTCTGAAAAGTTCAAATGAGTTTTGATTTCTTTATCCATTTTAGAAGTTTTAGACTTTTCAAAACCTTTCATTATAGCAATTGATGCATCTGATACAAGATTGGATATGATTATAAGAGCTTGGAGCACAGAAAACATGTTGCTTTTTTAAATTTCTAAAAAATTATTACCAAAGGAAAGAATTTGAATTATGTCCAGAAGGAGTATCTGATTTGTTTGGATTTTGGATAAACTCAAGCTGTACATGTTGGCCAAGAGTTGAGTCTGTGGACTGATCCTTAATCCCTGAGCAAGACTCAGCCTTCACTAGCTATGACAGCATCAAGAATTCCACATGAGCATTAAACATGTTTCTGGACAAAGAAATAGTGAGGGGGGAAAAAAAGCTTTCTCATCAAGAAGGCAGAGAACACAACACTGAGCAACTCTTGGGCATTGGTGAATTGTATCTTCATGAATTGTACTGGGTGACATTGTGTTTGGAAACTGGTGCAGACCAAGCGAAGGAGAGAGTAGAGCTACAACCAGAAGGCACCATGGCAGAGAAGCAAGGGTCAACAGCCTCCTCTCTGATCTCTCATCTTCAGATGGTTGCAGGCACTGGAGGCTTTGCTTGGTAGAGTGCCCTCTATGTGCTTAGGGAAGAAGCAGAGATCCCTCAGGTGAACATTCTTCACTGCTGACAGATTATGTCTAATGTCTGCCTTCCTTTCTCTTCTATTTCTTTTGTAGTTCTCTTTTGATTTTTTTCTAATGACACAGAAAAACATGAGAGTTGCAAACTGATTTCTTTCTTAATCTCTGTGGTTTCTCATTGCCTCTGTCCCACTCAAGAATGGTTGCTTACCTCCCTTCACCTAGACTTAGGTGTTCACAGGCAGAAGGTATTAACCTCAAGGTATAGGAGGGGACTAGGCTTTGAACAGTCAGGTGGAAAAGGAAGAGACACAAAAGGAAAAGCGGGTTATCGGGGCCTGCTGCCAGCACTCACAACTGTGCACAGCAAATCAGTGAATCTGGAACATTCTAGCCATGCATTTAATCAACAAGGAGTTATTGAGTAGCTAGTAGATGTCAAGGACAATTTAAATATGGACAAATCAATAAATTCATGCTGACAAATAACAGTGCCTGCTAATGGGGTGCAGTGACAGCAAATGTTGGGAGTTGGTGGCAGGGAGAATGGGAGATATTTAGACAGGATGATTGAAGATGGCCTCTCTCGATGAGACCTCAAGAATGAGGCAAAGCCAGCTCCTCAAGGGTGGAGAAAACAGGATTTTGAAGGTAAGAGAAAGCTCCAGGGACCTGAGGGACTAAGAGGAAGTCAGTGTGGCTAGAAGGCCGATCTGAGGGGAGGCTGCTGAGGCTGCTGAGGTTGGATTTACTGTAAGTACAGTGGAAAGCCATGGAATGGTTTTAGGGCATGCATGTTCCTGTGTACATGTGTCATATGGACATATGTGCCTGCGTGTATGTGTGTGTACATGCCTGACATATCACGTGGAGCATATTGTGGAGGGGCATGAGGAGGACTTGGTCATTATGACCTTGTGATTTCTATTCCAGTCTTCAAGAAAATCTCAAGCTCTCCTCAAGCAGAAGCCTGTTGATTGGCACGAGACAAGATAATCAATGACAATTGATGACAAATCAATGACAAATTATCAAAGGCGTTTTCCCTATTCCGGTACACTGACACGACCAGATGTCCTCTGTTGGGTAGTATATCCTGATTTTTAACTTCCAGTCTCTTCTCACATGAATCTTCTCATAATATCCGTTTTCAATGCATATGTGTCACACATTCCTTTTACCCCATTCTCCCCCCCACTTTTTTTCGTGGTGCTGGGAATTGAACCAGGACCTCCACAGTATGCTATATCCCCAGCCCTTTTTTAATTTTTTAAAAACTTGGGACAGGGTCTCATTAAATTGCCCCGTCTGGGCTCAAACTTGTGATCCTTCTGCCTCCAGAATGCTGTGCCACTGTGCCCAGCTTCCCCCTCCTTTCCTTTCTTGATCTTTTCTGCTTCTTCCTCTTTTCTTCCTTCCCCTCCCATATTCATTCCTGATTCACTATCTTCTCCCTCTCCTTTCTTATGATGGGTCAGTGTTAAATGTCAAACCACAACTCTTAGATTTCTATTTTGCCAAACGAATTTCTTGGCTGGTTTTCTAGACTTGTAATTCCGTTTTGTAATTTTTCTCCTTCCATCGAGTCCCTTCTCAGCTGCCCTTACCTCTTCCCTCTTCTCTTTCCCATTCTCCCCTTCTTCTTCGAGCTAGCCCCCAAGTTACTAGGCTTTTAAACTGTCAACAGGAAAAAGTGCTCTTTCTCTAACCTCACGGAAAGAAGGTGAAAAGGGGTAACCTGGTACAACACTGGGCTCCCAGACTCTGCGCAGTGGAAGGTGTTTCTTGAAGATCAGACAGAGCAGAAGGTATCACTGTGCGACATCCCTTCTGTGGTTCACTGCACCCTCTGAGTCAGGACAATGAGAGAACATTCTTAAAACATGACCTAACCACGCTCAGTCCTCAAACAAATTCCTGGACGTGTGCGGAGCAGGCTTGTCAGCTCCTCGCTGCTGCCTTCACAAAGCCACTTTCTGAGCCAGTTAGTATGCATTCAAATAATGTTGTAAAATATAGCCAGTTCATATCTGGCGCATATGCTGTAGGGCCGCTCTTGGCCGTATTTTCATATTTTTTATATTGTGGTGGCTGAGTCTCTGCCTGGGGTTTTGGGGATCCCTGACTTCACACTTTACCAGAAAGAAGTTTTGGCAAATTATTCTCAGAGGAAAAAAAGATAACACGATACTGTCCATTTCCAGAATAAAGCGCTAGTCAGGACACGATGGCAACTTGTCCTTATTTCACCTACACCTGGAGTTGTGCATGTGTGTTTAACACAAGTGGCTTATCTGGGTGAATTAAGAAATTAATCTAATTGAAAAATGATTGAATTAGAAAGACAGGAAAAAGCATTCGTTTGGCAGCATATGGGGTCAGAAGCCATTGCTAATGCAATATTTCATCAATTGACTCATTGCTATTCTCCCATTGATGTGATTTAGCTTCTCAAATAGCTCTTATCAGGGCAGGCTTGCACTGGGTACATTGTACAGATGCCTTATAATCATTGCAATGTGTTTACTTCAAATTTTTTAAAAGCAATTAAGCAATTTAAAATATATTCGTATGTGAGTGTGTGTGTGTGTGTGTGTGTATGTGTGTGTGTGTGTACATCCACAGAGAGATTTTACAAACGTTCAGAGAAGGGCTCTGAGTGAACACTAGGACAAGTGTTGAATTCATACACTGCAGTGCCCTTCATGCATTTCAAAGAGCTTCATGCAGACCAATGTTAAGCTTTTTTCATACCCGTTGAATATACCATTATCTCTGTTTAATACACTGAAGAAACCAGAGGACAAAGAGTCTCCCTGTACTCCTTATCCAAGGCCACACAACTGTTGCTGGAACCTTGAGCTTTCTGAGTGCCAGGCACATACTTGCAGCATATCACAAATGCCAGAAAACAGTGGTGGGTCAGTTTGTTTAAAAAGTATGATAACCCTGTGATTGTGGGGAGTGTTTTGATACACTTTACTTTTGTTTGTTTTAATGTAAAACAAGTCATCCTAATGATCTTTCTCATAGAGTCTTACTGGGGCTGGGGCTAAAACAGTAAGGAAGCCACATGGGAAAGGGCAGCATCTAAATGAGTGTACACATGGGTAGTAATATCTTCCTGCCCTGACCTGCCCGGCATCTCTTCCCCTTCATCTTTGTTTCAAAATGTGCCTAGAGTTGGGAAATGCAGGCCCACTTTGATACAAAGATTTGCAACCTCCTTTACCCCACGTGCCAAGGGCAGGAAGGTAGACTCTCTTGGTACCCACCAAAGGGCCCAGAAGGTGTCAAATGCTTATCAAGCTCTGAGTGCCAAATTCTGAGCCTTCCGTAGGACTAAGAGGCAGTCTTTGTGCTTGTGGGGGAGGGAGGAAGGTAAACAAGACCATGGATTCAGCGCAGCGCTATAATAGAGGTAGGTGTGGGCCCGGGGGAGGGAGAGGGGAAGATGAAGACTAAAGGGAAAGTTCCCACGGTCAGGAACAGTGAGGTGCCTCCAAGTATTGCCTGAGGCCCCATCAGTGGAGCCCACTGGTGCGTCAGTTCCCTTCCGGTGGAAGCATTTCTCAGCGGTGCCAGACGCTGGCCAGACTGCGAGCTGGATGACGTCAGTTGTCAGCTCTCCCAGATTTGTCGCTGATGCCCTTTTCCTCCCTCATGTACCATTTTACTCTCCCTGTCTGGCAGAAGACTCCAAACAGTTTCATCAAAAGCTGCCTGGGGCAGGTATAAATGACTGATCTGGGGGTGCACATGGGAGCACATGCATGTGACGTGCCTTAAAGCCTGAAGCTAAGGGAACCACAGGCAGCTAAGAAGAGTCTCCTTGAGAGGGCTAAAAGTTCCTGGCACCCTGGGTCCACATATTCTGGATAGGTGCCTGCTTTTTCTGCGCTTAGAACTGGCCTTATTTCCAAGCATTCAGTCTGACATGTTTTTGCTTCCCTGCCCTCTATTGTGGCTGTATGATAAGGCCAGGCTGGGGGCTGATAACTGCCAGTCTCAGACTTTTTGACTGGAAATTCCCCAAGACTATAGAAACTGATTTGAAGCCCTGGAGTAAAACCAGCAATGAAAAATACAGTTGTGGCAAATGGGACATTTGATGTCATCCCCTCTAGGTGTACCGGTTAGTGTAGTTCCTTGCTCACTGTTAAGGACAGAACTGGCTGAGTGTGTGAATGGGAAAGTGTGAACAGATGGATGTACTGAAATCATATTCCTGGTATGAGGTGGAAAGGGGGAAATGGTGAGGAGCCTCACGTTATTCCCGGATCCTCTCCAGAGCCTTATCTGGTTGTACAAAAGTACTCCACTGGTGTAAAGTACAGTCAACCCTCCCGATCTAAAGGCAGGTTCAGTGTTCATGGAGTCGAACAACATCAGATGGAAACTATTTTTAAAACAATGCATCTGTACTAAACACAAACGTTTTGCTAGCCATTATTCCCTAAGCAATACAGTATAACAACTACTTCCATAGCATTTACACTGTTTTAGTTATTACACATAATCCAGAGATAATTTAAAGTGTAGGAGGGACTAGGGATGTAGCTCAGTGGTTCCACTGCCTGCCTTGCAAGCCCAAGGACCTGAGTTCGATCCCCGGCACCAAAAAAAAAAAAACAACACTATAGGCTTGAAATAAAGTTTCATCAAGTGGACTCCTCTTGGTCATCGCTAAAAGAAATTTAATATGAACCACATAATGTTATATTTTCTAGGATTCATACTTAGAGCAAAAAGGAACAGGTAAAATCAATTTTAATAATGTATTTTATTAACTCCACTATTTTAAAACATCAACATACAGTCAACATAAGATAATTATGGAGGCATTTTACATTTTTTTACGCTAAATATGCAAACCCAATGTATATTTTTCACATCCAGCACATTTCCATTGAGATTAGTCACATCTCAAGTGTTGAAAGCAACATGTGGTGGGTGAGTACCTTATACAAAGAAGCTCTCGGTGACTCCTCAATGGAGATAATCTGGATACCTTTCCAGATGCAATCATTTTCAATGTGGGAATCAGAATGCCTTGGAAGCCCACATAGGATTTGGAGAATGAACTGAAGAGACTGAGTGTTAGAATTTGGCCTTCTGGTCCAGAACTCTCAGAGCAGCTTGCTCTGAAAATGAGAAAGCTATGTTCATGCCTCCTCTGTGTGTGTGAAATAAATACTCTTTGTTGGAAATTAGATATAAAGGGCCAATTTACATTGCAGATGTAAATTGCGCCTATTCTCTAGGCCCTTGCTCCTAAGCCACTGAGACCAAAGAAGTGTAGAACGGGAAGGGACCTAGGAGATTACATTAAATTGTGCCTTTCCTCCCTCTCTATGCATTAGAACCTATTAGGGAACATCAGGAAAATAGTAATGGGATATGGTCTCTCAGTGAAAGGAATCAGGTTCAGTTGGTCTGAGGTAGGCCTAGGCATCAACATTTTTAAAACTCCCCCAGGTAATTCAAATGCATGGCTTGGCTACGAAGACAGAAACATCACCTTCATAACCCAAGCCATTCATAGGTGAAGAGACGGGCTAACTGAGATAAGTGAGTCATCCCACAGCTTTGAGAGGCAGAGGAGGGCAAAAAATCCAGGTATTATTCTCTACTCCATCTCAAATACAGAGAAACATTACAATAATACCTCTATTGTGGGCCATTGTCCTGGGTGGATCCAGAATTACCCTCATTTTGAATTGAGATATATTCCCCAGCTCAACCTAGATTAGATGTAAGCTTTAAGCAAGGGCTCTCACCAGGCATGGTGGCGCACGCCTGTAATCCCAGCACTCAGGAGGTGAAACCAGAAAGATCATTTTGAGTTCAAGGCCAGTCTGGGCTACATAATGAGTTCAAGGACAGCTGGAACTACAGAGGGAGACTCTGTCTCAAACAAAACAAAACAAAGCAAGAGAAAAAGAAAGGGCTCTGACCTTTATGGCCAAAAAGTATCCAAAGCAGTAATAAATTGATATGAGTCTCATGGAGAACTATAGGTCAGAATGCCCCCTATTTCAGGTCCAGCTGGGATCTGAAACTATTTTTTATTAGAGTTTTACAAGTAGAGATAGGAAGGGACGCAAAGAGGGGAAAAAACACTTGGATCAGTATCTTCTTTATCCATCCACTCAGCCTAAGTTAGAGCAACTCACTAAGAGAGGTCTGACTGTAAACTGTCCAGGTGTCAAGCAGATATGGGTTGGTGGCTGGGAAGGGGCTCTGGTCAACTAGCGGGTATATTTCATGAGGGGAACAGCCTGGCCCAACTCCTGTTCCTTATGTCAAATGGGGCATTATGAAGGTCCAGTGTGATCAGACCTTCTAGTTGCTCAGAAAACTTTGGAAATTTGGGGTTTTGATTGTTTCTGTTCTTCTGAAATATCCTGATTTGTGGATGTGGGTGACTACCAGTTTTTAGGAAAGCACTGTAAGGGCCAAAGAAAGTTGACTTGTGAGTTGTATTCTACCTGTAAGCCCTCAGAGTGTAACTTTTTGTATGACTTTATAGTCTTCATTGACTTTATTGGTTCTAACAGTGTGAACCTAATACAGTCATACTTTTCTCCAAGTTGCTGGACTTAAACTGTGAGACTGGTGAAACTGAAAGTCAATATCAGAAGGAAAAATAACCTAGTAGTATTACATCAGGTCCCCTTCCAAAGTCCTCATTATTATTCCTGGGTGTGGTTCTGTAAAGTGCCATACCTTTTCACCATTACATTGAAATTAAGTTCATTACAGTTCACAAACCCTCATATAATTCATTTAAAAATTCTTTTTGAAAACATAATGTCAGATTTGCTAACAACATCTGAGGACAGACACTAATTCTGTAAAACTCAACCATATATATACATTATATAT